GAGAGAAGGCTTGCTCAGGGCTTGCATTTCGTGGGTCTGATATCAGGCTGGAGCTTGTGGTGCGGATGGCAGCTCAGGGGGTGCACTGGGCTGGGCAGCCCTGGAGCCCAGCTGGCCCATGTGCTGTACTGCCCTCAGTGGTGTTTTGGCTGATTTTTGCCTTGAATTAGTCAGCTTGGCTGTTTGGCCCGTCTGTGATCAGCAGTGCTGCTCGATAAAGCACTGAGAAAACAAGAGCCTGCAGATGCCTGCATACAAGGGGGGCAAGGTTCCTGTTCCTGCTCAAGGCAAACAAAACCCTGGCAGGGGTGAATTTAAAGATGCCAAATCTTCCTGCTCTGGTCTGCTTTCAGCCCCAGCATGAGATACGGGACAGTCCCTGCGTGCACCAGGTGCTGCAGCCCTGATGGCAGCCGGGGGCTGCGGGACCCCTGAGTGGTGACTTTGTACTGCTGGCATCCTGCGCAGGCAGGGGCGAAGGGCAAAGCTGTGTGCAGGCAGCTGCCCGCTGCCTGGCCGGGGGGGGGAGGTGGCTGCTCTGCTTTTTGTCCGTGCTGCAGAGGCATCCGGGGTCACATCCAGCTTTGCTCCTTGTTTCTGGTAGGGAAAAATGTTGTGTAAGCTTTGCCCTGAGCTCTGCGTCTCCAGGCAGCAGTCCTTGTCCTCAGGACGGAGGGTCTGTGTCCCCCCTGTCCTTAGGAGGGGCCAAGGCAGCACTGGGACCTCTGCTCCCCCTGTGTAAGCGTGTGCATCCAAAGGGAATGGCTGTGGGGGGTTCCCCAGGGCCAGCAGCCTTGGGCGCACGGTTTGGACCCCCGAGGCTGCCAGCACCCTGCGGGTGACCTCCACGTCCATGGCAGCACGTCATCACCCCACGACTGATCTGATGTGACTTCCAGTCACACAGCAAACTGCTGGTGCTGAGCACTGCTGGGGGGGCTGCACCTGCATGCATGTTGCTGTGTGTCCCAGGAGGCACATGGCAGCCTTTAAACTTCACAAAACACAGAAAAATCAAGAAAAAAAAAAAAAATCTTTTCTGAGTAAGACAAGGCGAGGCGTGCTGTCTGGCTGGTGAGCTGGGAAGGGTGGCTGCGGCACTGGCTCGTATCAGCAAGCACTGCTCTGGGGTCTTCCCATGTCCCAGCAAACTCCTTGGGCTGCTGCTCGCCCCTGGGATGCCTCAGGGGAGCAGCAGGGTCTCATCTGCTGCTGGTTCCCAGCAGAAGGTCCGGATTTTGGAGAGACAAGTATTTTGTCCAAGCCTGCAGCCTCAGGGGCTGCAGATTAAAGTGTGGACACACAAGGGTAAAGTCAATATTGCTGTATTTGCTTGTTGGTCTCGTGATCACGGAGGGTCAAACCCAGCAACTGTCCCCAGGCACCTGGAGGAGGCTGTGGCGGAGCAAAGGCACAAATCCTGGCGTCCCTGGTTTTCAGCTGGGCACTTTCCCTGGCCTGACCCAGCTCTGGGTGAGCTGCTCCGTCCGCCTGCTGCGATGCCACCAGCACATCGATGCTCCTCCATCCCGTTTTTGGACGCTGCATGGAGGTTAAGCTCGTTCCCACATTGCTGCAAGGCAGGTCGGATTTACAGCAGGGACTGCAGCATCAGTGAGCGGCTGCCCTGATGCCAGCAGCTCCCTGTCCAGTGGAGCAAAACTGCCTGAAAAAACCCTGATGAATTAAAGGGGATTTTTCTGAATGTTTGTAAAGTCTTACAGACTCAGGCTGCTGCTCTGCTGTGGGCCAAAAAAAGGGAAAAAAACAGGGAGAGCCTGGCCCCCCCCAGACTGTGCTCCCAGGCAGCTTCATGCCATGGCCAGGAGCAAAGACCTCGGCAGCACCTCAGTCGCTTTGGGTGCCTGCTGCTTGTGGGACCTCTCTTGCCCCGTTGTGGCACGCAGCTGTGTTTCAGAAAAGCATCTGACAGCCAAGCACATTTATTTTTGTGCTTTTTCCATCCCCGCTGCTGTTGCCAGCTGATTTCCCATGTCTTGAGTCATTGGGCTGCCCGCTGCCATGGGGCAGCAAGGGATTCATTGGGCAAGAGACGTGAGACAAGCAAAGGGGCTCTTTATATTCCATGCCCCTCCCTAAGCATCCCCCCCTTCCCACTGGGCTTGCTATCGGAGGGGCAAGCACCCACCTCCCGTGGCACCAACCCGCATGGGGGATGGACGTCCCCTCCTCTGCTCCCCCACCGCTGCCTGGTGCTGCTGGATGAGGTGCCAGGTTTTGACTGTTGATTAACTCACATATTTGAGCAAAAAAATAGTGTTTTCCGCTCGCTCTCGGCCCTTGCAGCGGCCCTCGTGCCACCCCATCACCCTTGGAGGAGCTCTCGAAGCAGCCCCGGTGTGAGAAATACTTCCTTTCATTGCCTGCCTCTTGCTGCTTGAGGAATTTGGGGTTTTTTTTTTTTTTCCCTCCAGTAGCTTTGCTTCCCCCTCACCCTTTAAAGGCCAATGTGGGACCTTAAAAATAGAAACAAACTGTGCAGCTCAAATACATCGCATTAGCCTGATGCTGTTTTCAAATGCCACTCGGTCAAGTTGAATCTGCAAATGGGGCACGTGCCAGGCTGAAACCAGAGCAGGCGAATGCCTTTAACAACAGTATTTGCAATGCCCACCCCGGAGGGGTTCGGAAAGGACTGGGGCCCCGGCAGCTCTGCCTCTGTGAGGTGGATTTCAGGAAGACCCCAGTCCCCATAGCGGCCCCGATTTTGATGGGGGGAGCTGCAGTGCGCAGCCCAGGCTGAGATCCTGGGAGACGGTGAGAAAATCTGGGGTGTCCCCCCCCCCATCTACTTTTCAAAAGGGAGTAACGACTCAGAGAAATGCCAAAACCCAGCAGACTGTGCTGGAGGGCAAACCCAAGCAGCAGCTCGACTTTTAATGCAGCTGCGGAGGAGGAAGGAAAAGCTGCTGTGGGCAGCGCTGGCTTGGCCAGTGTCCCAGTGTGTGTGTGTGTGTCCCCCCACACACACACACCACCCGTCATGGCATTGCTGCATCCGAGCGAGCTGCTTTGGGGCCACGTGTGTGATGGGGCTGGCGCAGGCAGGAGGGCTGCCTGCAGCCCTGCTGGTATCTCGAGGGACCCCAGCCCTGCACCGCTGCTCCCCATGCCAGCCCCACCGCCCCGGTCACCCCACGCACACCCTTCTCCTCCTACTTAATTTTTAGCTCCATCTGGTGGCAGCCAGACCTGCAAATTTAATATCTTTATTGCTACAACAGCCCTGCCGTGCCCGCATCACATGTGTCCCAGCCTTTTCTTGGCGTGCAATAAATCCATCACCCGCCGGACACGGCTTCAGTCTTTAGTTTCTCGTAGGAGGGGACCTGGGCTGCGCATACGTGTGCTCTCTGCTTGGGTGTTTGATCAGGCTGCAGAACGCTTTGCAAGATGAGGGTTTCCTCTTGCAACCGTGTCCAAACCAAACCTGTTGCTTTTTGCAGCTGTGGACACTCTAACCTGGAGCTGCCACCTTCCCGGGGCACGGCCGCAGCTCCCGAGGGCTCAGCAAGCGCCTCGCCCTTCCTCGAGCTTCAGAGGAAGCGTGGCCGGATCAGAATTTATCACACACCTAAACCACATTCCCACCTCCCCTTTCCAGGCCCCTCGTGCCTGGAGACTTGCTCAATTAACAGCCAGACTCGTTTCTGCTATGTTGCACAGCACAGACGCTGCTCAGACGGGGAGAGCATTGCATAAACTTTATTAACTTTATATATTCCAACCCTGCTGTTGTTTCAGTCGTACCGGTCACCCCTTCTCCTGCAAACAGGCAAAACGGGCTTGTCAGGAGGAAACCTAAACGCAGGCAGCCCCAGCTGCTTTTCACCCATGGCACGTGCTCCCTGCCACCAGTGTCCCGAGCATGTCAGTGCTCGAGCAGCCCCGCTCGGGCCGCTCCCGGGGAGGCTGCCTGCACCAGCCCGGGGCCTTGGCACTGCTCCTGGTGCTGCTTTTCAGTGAGTCCTTCCACCGCTGCCAAGGACAGCCCGGCCTCCGAGAGCGTGCACGGGGAGGGGCAAAAGGTGCTCAGCCAGAGCAAACGCTCTCCCCAGCTTGGGGGGGGGGACAAGAGGCTCAAGGTCCTCCTGTATTGCTGTACCCCGGGACCGGCGAGAGGGGCTCAGCGAGGAGCTGAGGGGTGGTGGGAGCATCTCTTGGCTTTGCACCATGGCTGTGATGAAGAGCAAAACAGGGTGAAGCAGTGTTCTACCAAGTGCTGCTTGCACCTGGGCTAAGCAGGCGTTAAATATTTGAATCCAGACATACATTTTTCTTGGAATAAGCACACGATGGTGAGCAAGACAAGGAGCCAGAGCGGAGCAGCCCAGGCAGGAGCTGCCCGTGCAGGGTCCTCGGGGCAAGCAGGGCTGCTGCCTGGGAAAGGGGTGGCAGAGGCACACGGTTTAATGGACACCTGGATGAACAGAGACCAAAGAGACACGAAGATGGTTATATCTGCAGTTGCGAGAGTGGGACTGATTGCAAACCATTGCTTCCTGGGCAGGAGAGGAGCAGCGTGGTGAGGGAAGAGCATCCAGCGATGCCCTGCAAGGGACTCGTGTGGATGGATGCACACACATTTATTGATAAATACACCGGACACACACTACAAGAAAAATCAAGCGGAGCCACAACTGAACACAAACTGCAAACCTTCACGTTGGCGTGGGGAGCGGCAGGGACCTCCCACCCTACTGGCTGAATGAAGATGTAAACTCTGGGTGATGCCTTCACTACCACGGGGCCTTTCCAGACTGCTACACAGCCAAGCGCCAGCAATGGGTTCTCCACAACTCGTTGCCTTTTCCCTTGGCCACCTCCCTGCATCCTGACCGAGAGGGACCATGGGCTGTTTTTGGGGGGGGATGTGCTTTCCTTGGAGCCCCGTCAGAGGGCAAACCAGAAGGAAGGAGCTGCTTGGCAAGAGCTGGCCTGGAGGGGCCTGTGCAGGAAGGATGGTGGGAAGGGGTCCCTCAGGAGGGGGAGCTGAGCAGCCGTCTGTAGATGAAGCCCAGCTTCTCCCGCAGGGCCAGGAAGGTAGGACGCTCCTCCGTGTTGCCGCTCCAGCACTCCAGCATGATGCTGTAGATCTCGGGAGGGCAGGAGCTGGGCCGGGGAAGGCGGTAGCCCCTGGTGATTTGCCGTACGGTTTCTTGGTTTGTCATTCCTGCAAGGAGAAGATGCCCCTGAATCTAATGTCCCCAAAGGATGCCCTGAAGGTACACCTGCAGTGGGCCAAGATGTCAACTGGTGCTGCTGTGAAATGGCGTCTCTCTGCCACGAGGCTGGTAGAGGAAAGGCTGTGGGAGATCATCCAGCCCATACTACCTTCCTGCCCCCAGCTCCTGCACCCACTCTGCAAGCACTGAAAATCCCTCTAAGCAATCCCCAAAGTGGACAATAACTTGTTCATGCTCTAGGAGCTGCTTCCACATCCCTTGTGGAAGGGACAATATAACAATAGATGACATGTTGGCTTTTGGGGACCATGGGCAAGCTGCCCGGCGTGTGGACGGAGCGGCGCTGGAGGGGCCTGGCAGCCCTACCTTCATACGGGATCTGTCCATATGTGAAGACTTCGTAGAGCAGAATCCCATAGGACCAGACATCGGACTTGAGGGAGTAGGTGCGGTAGTTGGCTGCCTCCGGGGCTGTCCACTTCACCGGGATTTTGGTGCTGCTGCTGGTAGAATAAATGTCATCCTGAAAAGCAATGGGAGATGGGTCATGAGGGATGGTTTGATGAACACAGCCGCTGCTTTTGGGGGTTTGCTGGAGCTGCGGGCTGGGAAAGGGGATGGCAGGGGAACGGCTGCAGCATGGGGCAGCTTGGCGGCCTGGGGTGATGGGAGGGACCACAGCATCCCACTGACCAACCTTGAGGAGCCGGGCCAGTCCAAAATCAGCGATTTTGCAGGTGAGTTCCTCTCCCACCAGGATGTTTCTGGCCGCCAGGTCCCGGTGGACAATGTGCTTCTCCTCCAGGTACCTCATCCCATCCGCCACTTGGCAGGCAATGTTGAGCAGGTGGGAGGTGCCCAGGGACTTCCCTTCAGGACCTGTTAACCCAGACAATCCAAGCGTTGGGCACAATCTAGCAACATCTATTTTGGTGAAGGAGACCCTATGCCAGCAACATGGGACCAGGGCAACGTGTAAAACCTCGAACTGGAAGTCCTGCTTAACCGTCCTGGTTGTGCTGCGTGGGAAGTTCAGCATAGCCGTGTGCTCCTCAGGAATGGGATTGGGGTGAGCTCTGAAGAGCGCCCTGCACTGCAATGAGGATGCAGATGTCTGTGGCTCGTTCAAAGCTAAAGGTGACCTTCTAACATGCAAATCTCCAGCCGAGCCTTTCAACCCGTCCTACCTGAAAGCTCCAGCTCCTGCGGCACCAAATGCTGCTGGAGCCCCAACCAAAAACGAGGTCAGTGCGGGGGAGGAGGGGGGTGTACCTAGTAGAAGAACAGGTCTTGGTGGGAGCTGTTTGTCTTGTTTCCCTTCAAGACTGATTACTGGGTCAGGAAAAGAAAGGCCAAGAAAAATAAACTGATGCCCAGGTGATGAGTGGACCATGGCCTGTTACCAGCTCTGCAGGTGAACAAAACCATGCCGCCGGGCCCAGGGGGAGGTTTGGCCGTTTCATTCCTAACGAAGGCAGAGTTGCCCAAACACAGCAGAGGGCTTTCTGTCCACTGATGGGAGCTGGAAGCCCATGGGTGGGTGAAGAAGGAGGGATGAAGGTCCCTACCAGCACAGTTGGGCTCCCAGGGACTGATAGGAACCCAACCCACATGGACACCAAAAGGATCACGCCAGACCGTGTCTTTGGGTCTTGGGGTCACCCAAGAGCACCTCCACCAAGCGCCCTTGGATTGTTCTGCATTACCACTGATCTAAGTGGGATGGAAACCAGGCTCACTCTCTCTTAGAGTCCTCACTTGGGTTCGTAGGGCCATTCCAGGGCATGGGAAACACCTGCAGAGCAGCACTGCCCCAGGAGCCCTCTCCCCACGGTGCCGGCATGGGTACTCACTGTTGAGGTAGCTGTGGAGGTTGCCTTTCCGCATGAGCTCAGTGATGATGTACACAGGCTCATCCAGCGAGCAGACGGCATGCAGCTGGATCAGCTTCTCATGCCTCAGGCGCTTCAGGTTCTGAATCTCCTTAGTGAAGTCTTCTGCCTTCATGTCGGCTGGGGGAGAAAGCCAACACGGCCATTGTGAGCTACTTTCTTACCTGGACGTTGGGAGCTCAGCACCTCCAACTGGGATGCGGACCTTTTTCCTCCTCACAGCCCACCCCTGCTCTCAAAGTTCATGTCTGCACACCCTGTGCCTGAGATCCAAACACCCGAGAGATGTTTTCCACGGGGCTTTGGATTGCATTTTCAGGATCATAGTCCCATTAGGACTTGACTTATCACAAACCCATTGGACTTGACTTGATGTGACTTATCACAAACCCACTGGATGGAGCCATTTTATAAAGGTGAAGCCCAAGCTTAGGTGGGTACACAGAAGTAGTCCAGTCGCTACTTGCCAGGTCCTACCACAGTTTGCTTGATAAGACAGACACAGTGACCAAGAGGACTAGGAAACAAAAAGGGACGAATCATGTGGCAGTGAACGAGAGACCCAGTAGGCCACCGTTAACATCTGCTCCTCCACCTACCTTTTATGATCTTGATGGCCACCGGCACTGTGTTCCTCCACAGTCCTTCCCACACCTCTCCGAAGTAGCCCTCGCCCAGCTTCCTCCGCAGGGTGAACTCCCAGCGCGGGCGCTCCCAGCTGTCCCTCTCAGGGGGGGTCTGTGAAACGGGCATTGCACACCTGGACCAGCCGGCTGGGCAGGACCTGCTGGTGGAGCCTGCACCAGCTCTTGGTGCCCACCAAGGCCCGGTGGCCACGGAGCAGGACATGGTGCTCCACCACCTGCGTTGCAACTGGTGTTGCAGCCTGTGCATTGCTTTTCCCTCTGCTAAACGTTCACTGGGGGCACAAAGCAGGCGGGGCACCCTCTGCATTACCTCTGCTGGGAGCCAACGTGTGCAAGGGGGGAGATTTTTGGAGACTACATGAAATATCAGGAATTCAAGTCATAATTCACTCCTCATCCGACCTCAAAGGTGGCTTTTCTCCATTTCCACCAATAAATAAAAATGAGTAAATGAATATTATTGCATATTATGGCTGATTTAAATTTCAGCTCATTAATCATTTCTTTTATCTTACACCTTTCAATTTCACTCTCGAATTATTCACGTTTAATTGTTATTTCTAAGTCATCATCGGTGGATGGAATTCTAATCAGGAAATGAATTGGCAATTTGGGATTAATACTCTAATTGGATTTATGAGCACCACACTAATTGGCATGAAAACTAAATAAAAGCAATGTGGTCTTATTATACTCTAGGAAAAAAATTGGAAGCGCAGGTATTTCCAGATTCAGTATCAAAGGGATTTGTAACAACGCAGTTTCTAGTCTTCAATGTGGAGAAGACATTTCAGAAAAGCCTGTGCACTTTGGCCGGTCAAAAATACATATAAATGCCATGCCCCGGCCTTAACATGGCTGATAAAAGGTGATGCTGGCAGCTATGCTTATGATGTACTTTAAATTTAGCTTAATAAGGCTCAAATCCCAAATGGATAGACTAATTATTTCTGGTTTTCCCTAATTTCTCTGTCCTTTTTTCCTCCCTGTACATCTCTGGGACCTTGGCTGAGCCGCACCGTTGGCGTACGCACCGCGGGGCTGCAGGGCTGCAGCAAGGGGCTCTGGATGACCTTCCAGTGCTCGGTGTAGAAGGCGAGGAGCTCCTCCATGTTGGGGAAGGGACGCCCCTTCTGGATGTAGAGGCTGCCCCCGGGGCTCTTGCAGATTCGGAAGTGGCTGACCTTCGCGTGGTTGCGCACTGTGGGGAAGTCCCAGGTGGGGGAAAACTCAGCTCGTGCAATCGCCGGCTCCTTCCCACCTCCCCGCTGACTCTCACCCTCTCTCCTTTACAGGCACCTGGTCTATTAATTCACCCTAAAGCAATCCAACTCGCCCCTGGGGTATTACATCCCACTCCCCATCACCCGCTTTGCTCCCACGTCCTGGCTCAGAAGACTCCCGGCCAGGAGGAGGTGAGGTGGGCTCCACAGGTGAGGAGGCTCATTTGGACTGGAGAGGTGATGCTTTATTAGCAGGATAATCCCCCACGCAAACAAACTGCTCGGAGAGCGGCAGAGTTTGTGGCTGCTCGAGGTGGATAAACCAGCGGCGGCTGGACCTCCTGCAGGCATGCCGCAGCCCGGGGGGCCGACGGGCGGGATGCGGGGTTCGTCGTGAGTTTCTCAAGGTTGTTTTTACGTGGATCGGACCAGATCATAACGGCGCTGCCTGGTCCAAAACTCCCTGAATTCAGATTTCTGTACGTGGGAGCAGCCCAGGCCCCGGCGTATTTTTAGACAACCCTCAGATGACAAAAGCCGCTGGAATGAAATCCTGGGAGTTAGTGCTACAAAACCATCATTAAGCTGCTGTGAATTGCTTATGGCTTTCATACCCTGGATGGGAGCAATGTACTTTCCTTTGCCACAGTAATTCGGCAATCCATACCTGCATCTATTAGCTTTCCCCATTCTTTTAGAAAGCAGTCAATTCACTTTAACAAGATGCTGTAAAGCGCTTTAAACATATTTCCATGTTTTTCACCCCGTGCTGACCAAGCCAGGAGCTGCCCCTAAGGAACAGCCTGGTTGCTTTCCCTGTGCTCATTTTCTCTGCATGATTGCCACAAAATTACCTGAGAGAGAGTACTCGCCCTTGCTGCTCTCGCTGTCCCGGACGAGGAAGGAGCCGTGCTGGTTGGGAGGTGAGAGGAGGAGCTGCTCGGCTTCATTTCGGCTGATCTTGCTGAAGTACCAGCTGGGGGGGGCAGAGCGGAGGGGTTAGTGCGGTGCAAGGGGATGGCGCACGGACGGGGCCGCATCCGCTGAGCCAGGGTGGGGGAGCAGCTCCCTCCCACCATTTGCTCACCCCTGGCAGCCACCAAGCGAGCGGCACGGAGGCCAGCCCACGGCTCAGAGCCTGTAAACACGGCTGCCACGCGCACCATTGCCAGCCTGCCTTGGGGCTGCTTCATGGGATTGGTTTTGCAGGCACTTGTTGCATTTTATTGCAACTTGCTGACTGCAAACCGTTTCCTCCAGCAGTGTCTGGTCACCGCTGTATTGACCTGGCCAGGTCTCAGCTCCGTCCCAAAATCAGGAGGTTTACACCCCTGGCTCAGTGCAGCAGGGAGGCGAGCACCTGGGCTGACAGCCTGCGGTGAATAAAGGACCGACTACCTGGTGCTGCATGGAAGATGCTCTGGTGGGGTTGCACCCACGCGTCCTGCCACGAGAGCAACAGCTACGGGCACAGGATCGCTTTGCACTTCTTGACCTGCAGCTCACGGACACAACCAGCTCTCAGAGCCCATGAGCAAATCACATCAATGAAAACATATCTGGGAATTGCCCTTTGCTGCTCCAGACATGGCAGAGCCGGCTGGGGACCTCAGCAGCACCGAGCCAGGAGGGAGGAACCAGCCAAACCCCTCTTCTGTGCCCGATCAGTGCTGAGATTTATCACCAAATCTCCAGCAAGAAAAGGCAGGTTGGCTGGCTGGGTCCCGACTCAGCAGGACACACGGGAGTGTGGGGAAGAGGCTGCTTCATCCAGCCTAATACAGCCAGGACGTGAGAAGCCGAAGGTTTAATCATTAACTGGGATCACCAGCGTCTGAGAAGCCGTGCAGGAAATTATACACGATGGGGTTCCACAGCTGAACAAATTACCACCCAGCTCCGACTTGCGGCTCCGCAGAGTCTGTGTGCTTGCGGCTCGCTCCAGCTGCAAAGCCGCGCGTGTTTGCTGCCAACCGCCCTCCCGCACCGCCGCGTCCCCCTCGCCTCCGTCCTCGGGATGAGGCTGGGCATGAGCGGCGCACAGGTCGTGCACGCACGCACACACACACGCACATTCAGCTGTAGCCTGCCCAACTGTTTTGTGCAATGGGACTAAAGCAGCGAGCCGACCCCACAGTCCTCACCGGTGTGGTCCCAGCACGGTCCAAACCAGACCTTTCTCCAAAGCACATGCAGGGAGGTGAGGGAGGGAGGGTGTCTCCCATCCCGACGGCTGCAATCGCTGTCCCTGCACTTCGGGGCCCCTTCCCAGGCTCCCCCCACTCCTTTCCTTTACCCCCTGCTCCTGGGCAGTGCAGGGCGAATGCCGGGGGAATCTGCAGAGCAATTACACCCATCCCATCCGTGCGCTCCCCGTCACCCGGCGTGACTCAGGGCCTGGCACAGAAGGAGCAGCAGTGTCTCGGGGCGCTTTGCCTGGCATGTTGGGACCAGGCTGCCTTATGCAATGATGAGCCTGGGCATTCCCCAGCTGAGACAGGGCTGAGACATCAACCCGAGTTCCACGTCGCATGGGAGAGGCACAGACAGGGAGGGAGCCCTCGGCCCCAGATGAGCAGGAGCCGGACAGCAGCAGCAGTGGCATGGCTTGGCCCTACAGAGCTTCGGGCTTCCCGGCAGGTCCGAACCCAAACTGCTTCTCCCTGCACTCCCGGGCTCTTTGGAGCTGGCAGAGCTAAGGCAGAAGCTTCCCCAGCTCCCTCCCTCCCTGCTGCCTCCTCTTTAATGTAGGGCAAGAGGGAGAGGACCCAGAACAAGCAGGAGCCCATTTATTCGGCACCGTAGCTGCACCCGCGCACATCATGGCACCGCGTCCCAGCCCAGAGCCACCTCACCTTATGTGAGGGTGATGCGCCCGGGAAGGGGGACCAGCATCTCTGCCCCCCAGCGCATCCCCCAGCCAGGATGGGCTGAATACCTCCACCCCACTGCTGTGAGCTGCAGGAGCTTCACGGCGGGGATGCTCAGGGGAAAGAAGGTCCCCTCTCAGTCCCACCACAGCTGGTGGCAAAAGCAGGGGACGAGGAGCTCATGCTCTCCGCAATCACAGAGGGTGAGCGCTGCCTTTGCCTGGGCAGGGACATGCTACCCTGGTCCAGCCTCCATCCCCCTACGGGTCCAGAGCATGGGATACTTACGGCCGGTGAGCAGAGGTGCCCTGGCTGAGGTTGGCCACGTACGCAGCAGGAACGTACCCCATGGCCGGCTCCCCCAGCAGCCGCCGGGCTAAGACATACTCTCCTTCTTCTCTGAGGACACGCAGTTTGTCCCCTGCGCTTATGCTCAGTTCCTCTGCGCTCCGGGCTGTGAAAGCGTATAAAGCGATAAAGAGAGAGGACTTGGGGATGAAGGAAATGGAGTTCGGCTCCGAGTGCAGCGAAACGGAATCGGAACCAAGATACCCCAGCGAGTAGCTCTCCGGCACGGAGCGGGGACGGAGCTTGTTCCAGAAGGATGTCAGGAAGGTCAAACGCTTCCTGACGAACTGCTCCATCCCCGGCGGATGCGGTGGATGCAGTGGTCTATGCCACCGCGCTTCTCGAAGCCAGAGGAAGGGGCGATCCCGGGCTCATGCCACCGGCCGGGCGGCTCATGCCGCCGTCCCGCGTCCCTCGCACGCGTCTGGGCGCTCGCCGGCCCTTCCCGGCGAACTTCCTATTTCTGAAAGTGAAACTGGTTGATCTGGTGGGACGAGTCTGCAGGTGGGACGAGTCTGCAGGCGGGAGTCCCACACTCAGACCCGCGGGCACATGTGGGAGACGGGCACAGCTGGGGCCGGGCTTGCTGCTCTCGAAGAAGGAGAACGGCTTTTTTTTTTTTTCCTAATTATTATTTTAAAGTGCGCTCTCCTGCTTGTTACCAGAGCACCGGTAAACACAGCTCTCTGTTCTTCAAGCAGCTCTTGTGACAAGTGGCTGACTCCAGTTAATAGTCTTGATCTCACTTGTGTGAGAGGGTATATTTTGTTCCACAGGAAAAAAATTGCGTCCACAAATGTGTAAGAGTTAAAACAGAATTAAGGAAATAACCTTAGAAGAGATCTGAAGTGGTTTGGATATTTGCTGGGTGGATATTGTGGGGTTTATAACACAAGATCCTTTTTCCTTTCGGTCTGCAATGACCTCCCAGAGTTACCCCGCTAAAGCATTTGCCGCCTCATATTAATTCCTCATTGCAGAGGATCTCTAGGGAATCCACTTCCCAGATCCACCAGGATCCGGTGCTTGCTCAGCCTCCGGCAGGGATGGGTCCCCTTCAGCATCAGGAGGTCCCTGTCTGGTGCAGGGTCTGGATCAGCCCCAGGCGCCTGCATGGCATCCAGAGCCGAGCCCTGGCACGCAACCCCCGGCTCCTGCTGCCGTCAGCACACCCACGCTCCTCACGGTCCCGGTCGCACTCGGATGCAGACACGCTACAACCCCCTTGCCAAACCCTGGCAACCACAGACATCGGCCAAAGGACAGAGATTTCCACCTCCTGTCTTGCACGTGCGCTTTTGAAGATCGCTGCTCCGGTGAGAAATCCGAACTCCAGCCCCCCCCAGCCCCCGCCTGGGTTTTGTCACTTAACTGTTCCATCTAATTAGTGGGAGTTTTGTGCCTGGCAACTCCGCTCGTGGCCTTGAGCCCATTATTTCCATCCTCCTCTGCTTGTAATTGGTCTGGGTAGCTCATTTTGGGTGTGCAGTTGGGTTTTGAAAGAGGCTGCTTAAAAAAACAGGAAAAGGAAACTTTATTGCAGGGGTCTAGGCTGCAGACTGCAACTGAACGGTGTATGAAGAACAAACTGGACCCATCCCTGGTCAACAGCTCTGGGCATGCCGTGTCCTGCGTCCTGGGTGTCCCATGACACCCAATCAACCTGCAAAAACTGGATTTCAATATCTGGGTTTGGGGGTCAGTTCTTTCCCCACCCTCTCCCAGGCAGAGCAGCCCAGGGCAGAGGACAGGAGGACGCAGCGCTCCATGAGCATGCTCTGCACGTTGCTGCACAGATGAGAACTAGAAAAAAGGGAGTCTTTAATAAAATATTCTGCTCCCTGCTTACCAAAGCAGCACCTGAATATATGGGTAATTCCCCCAAGATCTTCGCCCACCTGCCCAGCACACAGCCTCGCTCTTGGTGGCATGCAGGGATGTGTAATTTCTCTGTGTACTTTTCCTACTTCAGCATGGGGAGGGGAACAGAGGATGGAGGGCAGAAGGGTTTGCAACACGTCGGGAAGGGACAATCCCTCTGCCGTCCTTCTGCAGCGCTTCTGACAAGTCTGATCCTCACGTCACGCTCCATCAGGAGGAAAATGGGCTGCTTGGTTATGCATTTAGAGATTATCTGATTAGATCGAGCACTGAACGTTTATGCCTTACTGTTTTGAATGGGGACTTGGTAAACTTGCGGTTTGCAGAAGGAGAGTGGAGACTGATTTACCTTTATTGACCTTTGCCAGATTAGATTCTCTAGTGGTACAAGCGATAGACAAGTGCAGCTGATTTATAACACACAAGGCTTTGGATCTTGATTTGCACCTAAATGAAAGAGTACTTCAAAATGACAAACATCCCTGAGGACTAAATACTGCCTCTGAGCTGAACGTACCAGACATGCATAACACACACTCATCGCTGCAAACCTGTGACTGCACAGGACACGCATGCGCAGCCCAGAGTCCCACGCCAGGAAACAGCTGATAAATCACAACCTTTTTCTAGTATCTTTTTTATTTTCCTATTAAGTTCCAGGAGCATCCCTGCTGCTTTGAATCCCTTTGGTACTACAACACACCTAAAAAAAAAAAAAAAAAAGGAGGGAGGGGGAGAAGAAAAAACCAGGCATGTTCACAAAAGTTTCTGGTCCTTGCACTGTGGGAAGGAAGGTGGGAGGACACAGGAAAGATAAGGAAGGCACAGATATCTAGTGGATCAAGTATTTTCTCTTTAGTCCCTGTGACCAACTTACAAGGATGTATTAAAAACCAATCCGTCCCCAGATTTGGGGCTATGGTGGGTACACAGGGACTTTAGTTCTAGCACCACTAAAAAGCACCACTAAAAAGCACCTCCAAAGAGCAACAAAACCAGAGGACCTGTTCGGTAGAGCTGGTTACATAGTCCTGGTTTAGTTGCAGAGCACCTGGGAGCAAGAAACACAAACAGCACTTTGCATTCATCTGTGTGTCAAATATGGCACATCGTGTGCTCCCGTACTAATTGACAGAAACCAGCAGCTCCCCTCCACTAATGAGAGCGCCCATTACATCTAATTATCTGAGGTTCTCTTCCAGGTCCTGTTACATTTACACTCAAAATACATCTTTCAGCAAAGAGCCCTTTGGGGGGGAAAAAAAAAGGAAGAGAAACATAAATCCAATTAATCCCCCAAAGGGGCAGAAAGTTGGAGAATGCGGGTCATGCCAAGGAAAATGTTTCTGAGCACTGGGCACGTAACGGTAGGTCACTCGCAGGGTCATGTAACTGAGGATGCGCCACTCGTTACCCAATGACTGGCAAAGCACAGCGGCTGATCTCAGCATCGCGGGCGGCCACGGTCTGCTGTGTCTGGCACCCCGTCCTGAAGCACCCAAACAGCTGGGAGACTTCCCCGGGCCTTGGGTTCTCCTCCTCGCTGCTGGCAGGGACCGCAAGCCCAGCCCAAACAGTGCTTGCCAGGGCCCTGGGGTTCCTCTTGCTCTTTCTGTTGGCATGAGAAGATGGCTGGGGGGTTAGTTTGGGTTTCACGTTTATTTAATTTATTTTTTTTTTTTAGATTTCTCCAGATGCTTCCTGGCACCACAGTGCATTTGAGAAAGGTTTTGCCTCTTAATGAGTTGTTTTGGTTGGGTGCCCATGGGACATTTCAGACAAGGGGTGGTGGATGACAACAGCATTGCGTGGGAAGAGGAGAAGAGCAGAACAGTGGCACTAAAGCAGCTTCAATTATTCTCCATTTCCTGGGGACCAAGGAAGAAAGTGGCATCTCGGCAGAGTGCTGGTCTGTCACCATCAAAGAGGGCAGAGCCCATCCCCAGAGGCGAACGGTCCAGGGCCTGAGGGGCTTGTAGACAGTCAGTGCAGAGGGTTCAATACAGGCAGAAGTACAGTCGTCCTGGGACAGGGAGTGGTACAGGTGTGAGAGGTGGCAGAGCATCGTGGGGTCTCGTGGCTGCTGTTTCTGAGCCCTGTAGGAATGGGTTGGACTGGCTGGTGGAGAGCAGGAGTGCAGGTCACAGGGCACCTGAAATGGCACAGGAAAGCAGAAAAACTCTGTGGGAGGCAGCTGGAGGCAGAGCGAGCTGTTTGTACAGTGCCTGGCAGGTCTGGGGCATGCATGACTGCAGCACGAAAACAGCAACAGCCCTTTAAAACCACAGAAATACTTTTCAGGGACCCTGTAAACCCTAGAGTGCTTTTCAGGGATCTGCAAATGATGGCAAGGAAAAGCCAACTCCTGTGTCACACTGCAATTTATGTCAAATTTCTAAAGGGGAGTCTCTGTTCAACTGGAGTATCTATAAGGACCGACACACCAAATCAGACTGGAAAACAGTGTGGCCAGTCTACAGCCTTCCCCTTCTGCTTTCTGCTGAGATTATCGGCACAGACTAGCCTTTGCTTGCCCTCTCCTGTAATCTAACTTCCAGAGGATGCTCCTTCTAGTACAGACCGCCTGGCAGAACAACGCTTCTGCATAACGCTTCTGCTCCTGTCCCTGGAGTAATCATTTGCAACACGTAAAAACCATTAAACACCTCCTCCAGACTGGCAGGTGCCGGCGAATTGTTCATCCTCTCTTTCAAGGCTGCGGGGATCTCCATGGCAAGTGGGCTAAGGGAGCTCAGTCTGTGCTCTCCGTGCCCCTAAACACAGGGGACCAGAGGTCTGGCAGCTTTCTGCCAGCACCCTGACCCTCCCACAGCCGAGCAGCAGCAGGAGTCCCCAGGCTGGCAGATGCCGACAGTGACTTTAAACATGCACTTGAACATCCTCACTCCCTTGTCTGGAGCTGAGCAAACAGAGGACTGGTGCTTTCAGAAGAGAGGTGCACGGTGACTCAGTTGTTGAGGGAGAAACCTCTGTCAACATGTAAGCAAATGATGGATTGCTCCATCTGCCCAGATGTCCTTGTTACCCTGAGGAGGAACCAGTCCATCTACTCCATCACTGAGCTTTGTGATATCTCTCCCCACAAAGGCCCTTTGGAGGCTGTTGGATTTGGGGTTATGATATTAAGTGTTGCTAGAAGAAACCTACCCAGAGTCCCAGGAGAATAGGCCTGAGAGACCTCACCCAGTCCACCTAGTCCATCCTATACTTATGTCTTTCCCCATCTTTGCCAAACCAGTTCTTAAAAGACCTCCAGGAATGGATATGCCACAACATCCCCAGACAACCCATTCCAGTGAGTCACTAATCATTACTGGTAGGAACGAGTGTCTAACCTGCTGCATTTAAGCCTATTACCTCTTGTCCCATTCATCACTGGATTGCTCCATTCCTT